TATATATATATATATATATATATTAAAAGAAATGTTAATTTGACTGACGGGTTCAAATAAACTGGAGACAATATTTAAACATAAGGTAAAGATACATTATGATACATTATGTGTTGAATCTAGGAATTTCAGTAGTCACTAACTCAAAGTTTCTTTTGATGAGTACTCCAAGTTCTTTACGAGTTTTTAAATTATTTTTCTTGCTCTTACGTCTATAAGCAGCTGATCTCATGATCTCAGAAATCGTATTTCAGTATTCTGTAGATGTATTTGTATATATATGGCAAGATTTTTCGGATAATCCGAACACTTGCGAATCCGAAGAGGCCACACCCCCAATTAGTTCGGACGACGAGGGTTCTACAGAACTACGAGAAAGATTTGTGAGAATGGCATGTTTGCATGTTGCAGAAGATTGCATGTTTATTTCCAAAAGGTTTATAGAATCAACGTATTTTTAAATTGACGATATAGGCTATATTACCATAAATAAGTTCAATTAAAATGTATAAATCCATTACTAACTTCAATGTTTGAAATGTTCCCTCCTTAAATATTGTGTGAAATAGACCTTGATAAGTGCTTCTGAAGCAATAGTTTCTTCTCATTCCGTAATGTAAGAGTAGAAATTGACCCGTTTCTGTGTTTTCAACTTTTATTTTTCAAAATGCAGATTACTATTAAAATAAAAATACATGAGAAGATTAGAACGGTATTTGAGATGCGCCAAAACGGACATGTTGTCTCCCAGAACTAATAGAACGAACTACTTTTCTACACTATATATGCATATATATATATATATATATATATATATATATATATATATATATATGTGTGTGTGTGTGTGTGTGTGTGTGCGCGCGCGTGCGTGCGTGCGTGCGTGCGTGCGCGCGCGCGTGTGTGTGTGTGGTATGAGGTTTTAGGAGGTGAACTTTAAGTAGTTCAGTAATTAAGACAATAGGTCCATAAAAAAAACATATTGGCTTTGGGTTTTATCGCCGAACATTAAGTCGTAATTTTAGCATCAATCCAGAGTGCAGCAAACTAAATACACTATCATAGACTAAGTAAGTTACTCATTACTCTATGACAGTAGCTTTGTTTAAAGAATGCACAATACATCTTCCCAATAAAAGTTTTTACTTTCTCGTTATATTTAGTTTCAAACGTATATCAGTGAATAAATCTCAAATAGTAAAAAATAAGTTTTTTATGTATTTTTGAAAGTATGATGTAGTTCTATTAACCTGGGGGAGGGGGGGATATGTACTAGGCTCTTCATCATTTTGTGAAGACTGCACATTTGGTCCATAACAAAACGAACTTTTGAATTAGTGTAGTGTGCCATTAGCGAAGAACGAGCTACACATCACGTGTGTAGCCTCTGCGAGTAATCAATCATTCATTCATTCTTCCATTCATTCATTCCATTCATTCATTGGAAGCCAAACGTTATTGGACCACTCACGAGTTTCTCGATTTCCCAGGCGTCAATAAAGTGCAGCAGAATCGTTGCGCTTCCCATCACCGAGTGGAGGAGAAGATAGTGGATGGTGAAACGCTTACCTAGGGCCTGCCGCACACCAATACTCGGCGCGCCACGACGTCACCGCCCCAACCGCACTGCCCGACCGCCCGCGGGAGACTGGCAGCGGCGGCGGCGGCGGCGAAGGCAGCAGGAGTGGTGGTGGCGGTGTCGACGGCGACGATGATGGAGGCAGCAGCGGCAGTGGCCGAGGTGGCGGACGTGGTGATGTGGTGGTAGCGACGGCCGTGGTGGCGGCGGCAGTGGCAGCGGCAGCGGAGATTGCAAAGAGTGTAGCATGGGCGGCAGAAGCGGAGAAGCAGAAGCAGTTTATCAGAAATTTAACTTTGCACGAGCCTGATCCCACGGTCACGTACATCGTCACCGAAAGATATGTTGCAGCAGTCATAACGCTAACACTTGCATGAAAATTGCTGTAAACAACACCAAAAGTGCGCCGAACGGGTATTGTCTTTCCTGGCCTTATTTATTTTGTATTTTACAGATCAGCCATAGATGTCCGAAAGGATATGAAGCATTGCACCTCGCGTTCCAATTGTGCTGCAAAGCAAGCGAGCGGAGAAGCAGGCAGTGGCTGGCTGGAGGGAGAGGGAGGTTGGCGGGGTGCTCACCGCCGCCGCTGCAGTCTCCCCCCTCCACCGCCTGCCTGTCGCGACGCGTCGCGTAGTGCCAACTCAGGCAGGTACGCAAGCACCCGACGCAGTGGCAAGGTGCCTTCAAGTCACAGGTCACAAGACTAAAAGACCTTCCACCATAATGGAAACAAAAGCAAGAAGAAGAATAAGGGGTCTTATGCCTTATTGATTGATTTTTTATTTACGTTCAAGCCATCTTCAATTTCTGAAGTCAAGGAAGGAATTGACTCGGAAGATGCAGGAGGAATGAAAAAATAAGATACCATGCCTAGAGTGTTTTTTTCTACCACATACGCCTAGCGTCGGAAGGCAGACTCATAAAAACTACGTTACGAACCGACTGAATTCGACCCTAACAACATAACCAGTGTCGAACATCCGGCACCGTCAGGACTTGAAGCCGTCCCGTCAGACACCTGATGCATCGCCTCGCAAGGACAAGTTTCCGGCTACGTAAGGGAAAAGAGCTCACTTGTGTCGCCGAGTGCGATAAGCGAGTGCGATTGTCTCGTCGAGTGACCTTGACGTGGACATGAAGCCTGTCAAACATGTCCAGTGATCCTACTCCTCTCCCGAGTGAAGTCGCCGTTGCAGTTCACTGAATCAATGACACACACACACACAATTTCGAGTGTATTCCGATAGAGGACAGCAGGCTTACAAATGGCTATTCTTTCTTCCAAAGGTTACAAAGCTTCAAACAAGTTTGCTACATTAATAATATTTCAGCTTATTTGTAAAATGTATCCCTCATTGAAAAGTAAATTCGTTATCATTTTTCGTTTGTTTCTTTATCAAAAATCAATCATAATCTATTTAAAAAATAAAACTGTCTTTAAAATATGCGTAAAATTGAAACGTTTCAAATGGAAGATTTGAACTATAGACATAAGTTTAAAGATGGACGGAATGAGATTTTATCAACTCGCCTCCTGTTGCTAAATTCGACTGCAGTATACATATGCTTTGTGCAGAATTCCTCTTTACCTGCTTTATACATACATAATACATTACAATTTAATTACTTGTGCCGAGTGGTCTTGATTTGTTCACGTGATTTAAAATGTAGTCAACACGTGTAGTACATTCAGCGAGTGGAAGTGACGCCGAAACATATAAGGCAGTTTTCAAACAATATGATTTCAAATTTAGCTTTTCATCGCCCCCCCCCCCCCGTTACAACTTGACATGCTAACTACCTAGCGTATCATAAACTTTTTCCCAATGGAGAACATTTTACTTAAAAAAGGAGGACATTTTACATGTTTATACCCGTGATGTATAGACAATGAACTCAACAATTCCAAACCATTCCATCCCAAACCATCTTTAAAAAGCATATTAAACTTTGTGTCATTAAAAATGAAAGCTTCCTTATTGGATAACTTGGCCCCCGCACTCCCCTTCATTAACCACCAAGCAATAAATAAGTTTTATATCACAATAAATCTAATGATCTACTATGCAAAACATTAATTTGAGTAAAAATGTAGATATTCAAGACATGAAGTCCCTTTAATGATTAAAGTTACTTTAAAATTATGCTAGAATTATTTTTAATTCAACAGAACAAAAAGGAGCAACTAAATTTAAAATAAGAACAAGGACACGGCAATGCTAAAAAAAGGACAAGTTCTCCAATAAGAGGACAGATGGCCACCGTGTACGTAACTATCACGCCTGCCGTGAAATGGGCGCCAGAGCGAATAGTCCCCTCAGTTTTTGGTTGAAAATTTCACTAAACATCGGTATGTACTTCGTAATTTGTAGCAATATTGTTCACAAACTGCTAATTCCGTGCAATTTTCGTTGCCAGTAGGACCTAAGGTAATTTAAGACGAGAAGGTAGAGAAAATATCGCAGGGCTCACTCTATTGATGTGGCCCTTGTAGGGAAGCGACATCGACAACAAAACATCAACATTAACTCAATGTTAATAAAGCTACCCACAATTCAAGTTTTTAAACATCGATCTTTTTAAAATTGCATTAGTAACAATTACTTTTAACGCGCGGGGGGGAGTAATTTCATATTGGTCTAATTTGTTTACTTGTACCTCAGATGTAACTAACAAAATTGAAAAAATGATCAGGACAAATAGCAAAACTTTTATTATCTGATTAAATAATTTAAAAATTATATGGGCTTCATTTGTCGATGAAATCTCAATTTTAATTATTTTTCACTTTTGGTCATTTTGGTTTGAGGAATGTTCAGTTTATGGATAACTTTATGACGTTTTCTTTTTATGACGGTTTATGGATAACATTTTATTATGACGGTTGTTTTTTGTTGTTGTTTTTTTCATTCGGAAATCACCCTTATGAAAACATTGAAAACAAAACATTAATATTGAAAAACAATCAGCTTCGAAAAATGCACGTTAAATCCATCGATGATTTCATTAAAACATCGACATCAAGGTCGCATCCCTAGGCCCATAAGAGACACAATATTACCTCTCCTTGTTTCACGCTCAATATGCTTCTTTTTCTTTTTTAGACCGGCTGACATGGCTCATTGGCAACATTGCCGTTGCCTCTGTGAAATCTCTTACCGGCAGGTCCCAGGATTCGAGCCCCGGGAGTGCTGGATTTACTGTAGTAGCTTTATTCTGGTCGATCAAACTCAGCCACTGACTGGGAGAGAACGTACATCTGTTCTGATAGTCACGTAAGCTTCCGCGGCTCGATTCCATAAATTCTTGACTATCCGGGAGACGCCGCGTCGTTGGCTGAGAGGCCGACGTTTCATCTGACATGTCGCAGGCATCCTCAGGGTAGTGAGTCCCTACAACCGTCCTCATTCAACGACGCGGCGTCTCCCGGATAGCCAAGAATTTACCTGTTCTGATAGGGTTTCTTTTTCTCTCGAGGTTTCTTCGAGCCTTCTCCAGGCAAATACCGGAGTAGCTCATTAGCGAACGTGACTCGCACTGCGCGCGATCTTTCCTTCCACATTCACATTATTATAGACCAGTCAACTTAGAGCTCGCCCCGGCTGGGGCAGAGCGCAGCTGAGGAAGATTATCTGCCGGGAGAGCCTACGATCTCGCATTCCAGCTGGTGAGATACACCGCCACTTCCGGATATAACATGACGTATACACTGATGAGATTAATTACGATTGTAGTTGACGCGCCCGGAAACTAAGTACATAATGAATAAAGTATATCTTTGCACCTTTCCGTGCTTACAAGTTTCACTCCCATCCGTTTCCTGACCCTTTCCTCTATGTGCGGTCATGCACTTCACTACCCACGTACCGGGAGACTAATTCAAAGCTGAGAGCTTGTCTCGACAAGGTCGTGACCCTGTGGTGGAGATAACTGGTTGGGGAAAATCCCCGCAAGTCGACATAGGATGACGCTGGATTTCTCCATCGAGCGGGGAAAGATAACTGCTACTCCAGCGATAAAAACAAGCGCTAACACTTACGGGACTAGTCGACGCGCCTGGAATCGATGAGTCAATCTAAGTGCAGCACCGTAGTTCCGTCCACACTGGCTAGGAGTGGATTAAAGAGGGTTAAACGTTGTACAGAATTTTGTCAACTCCTTTACGGTTTATTTATTTATTGTTTATTTATTACTATTTTGAATGTGATACATGGTTCAGTTTAACAGCACAAACGTTTTCACATCTTATGATGCTTACTATTAAAGAAAATAACTATTACTTATTTACAATTATTTCTTAGTGAGAGTAAACCCACTGAGCACCTCACAAAGAAACATCAAAATTTGCAAATTGTATGTAATAAACATTCGTGGAAAATCTATTTTTTATTATGATGGCGTTTATGGGTGGTTTGCCTAGGTTCTTTGGGCACAGTTGTGTAATTGATGTCTGTGAATGATGTCATTTTTGTTGAAGTAATTATTGACTTTTTTCAGAATACTTTTCTCTAGAATTTTAGATAAGGATGGTAACAAGCGTATTGGTGTATAATTATCTACATTGGATGGATTTTTGTTTAGTTTTGGTATTAGTATCACTATTGAGTGCTTCCATAAAAGTGACAAATAACCTGTTCTTAATGAAGATTTATAAATATTATTTACGTATGCTATGGATTGATTTGGCAGATTTTTTAGAATGTTATTATTTATTCTGTCATGTCCTGGAGTCATTTTTAGGAAGTTTTTTTTTTATGTTTGTTATTTTCTGGGGGGATGTGATTCTGATTCTGGAAAGTACATTCTAATTAGGTGTTGCTTTCTGTGTGATTGTTTGGTGGGGTATGTCGTTGGGTTCAAATATATCTGCAAAATGTTTTTCTAGTGTTTCAGCATTTTCAACGGAAAATAATTTTTTTCCCTGTGCTACTATTATGTGGAGGAATATTATTTCTTTTATTTAGTATTTTATTTTTAAATTGCCACAGTTAATTGAAATTAACGTTTGAATCATGATATTTGTATTGTTGCTTTTTGTGTGTGAAAAAACAT